CATGACTTTTCTATGCACTGGGAAAACTCAGAAACACGCGTGAGTCACATGACTGTGATGGTTGCTTTAGTGCCGAGGTCTGGAACAGAACCTGTAATATCACCGAGGTATGCCTGTACTTTTGAATGAGTTAACTTGCTATTTTGAAACCAAAGTCCTGTAGCCAGAGAGTTAAACACTGCTGGAAAAAGTGTTAACTTTTGTCCCCGTTGTGTCTTTGAGATGTAATTACAATGGCCTTGGCAGTTTCAGAAAGTTCCCTGCAGGAGGCTGCAGATGAAATGTCAGGTAGGATGAAAACTATTCTTAGAATTGGCTTTAAGCGAAGCTTGTCTCTTTGTTGGATTTGGAGAGGCTCTTTTACTGCTCTAAAGGGAACGAAAAATCTCTTTACAAAGGAGGCTCAGTAACAAAAGTGATTTTGGTGTTTTGGGGGGGGGGATGCTTGTAGAAATCATTGAAAAATAGAACTAACTTTTCTTCACTTGATATTTTAGGGCAAAAAGATAGCCAGCTAAGAAGCCAGATAAAGTAACTGGATAGATTGCTGTTAAGTGCCGTTGAGTTGGTTCTAACTCATAGTGACCCTGGATAGGATTTCTGAGAAATGGCTGGTGAGCTTGAATCGCTGACCTTGCAGTTTAAACCGACTTTGCTGTCCAGCGCATTAACCCATAGCACCACACCAGGACTCCAGATAGAGAGATAGGCAGACAGAATAATCTAGGTGTAGAGTTGTTGTTGTTGTTAAGTGCCTTCGAGTCGGTTCCGACCCATAGCGACCCTGTACAGGGTTTCCGAGGGTGTAAATCCTTACGGGAGTAGAAAGCCTCATCTTTCTCCCGCGGAGCGGCTGGTAGTTTCGAACTGCTGACCTTAAGGTTCGCAGCCCGATTCGTAACAACTACGCTACCAGAGCTCCGGAGTAGAGAGAGGCTGAGTAAATCGATTTTAGAGATACCCCAGGGCTCCTGAGAAGTGGGGTAGCTATCAACCAGTGTCCCTGCCTGTGACAGTGTTCACTGGTCAAACTCAAACCCAAACCCATTGCCACTGAGTCGATTCTGACTCATAGTTGTTGTTGTTAAGTGCCTTCGAGTCGGTTCCGACCCATAGCGACCCTGTACAGGGTTTCCGAGGGTGTAAATCCTTACGGGAGTAGAAAGCCTCATCTTTCTCCCGCAGAGCAGCTGGTAGTTTCCAACCACTGACCTTAAAGGTTCGCAGCCCGATTCGTAACCACTACGCTACCAGAGCTCCTTAGTGCGACCCTTAAAAAAAAACAGGGTAGGACTGCCTGCTAGCGTTTCCAAGGCTGTCAATCATTATGGAAGTCGACTTTCCCCCATGAAGCTGCTGGTGGGTTCAAGCTGCCATCTTTTTGCCTCTCAGCCGAGCGCTTAACCAGTGTGTCACCAGGGATTCATGGTGCCTGGAAAAATGAGAAAAATAAGGAAAGGTAGTATTTGTGGCAGTATAAATTTTCTGATTGATATGCTGTTATACAGTCAGCTCTGGTAGCTTAGTGGTTATGAGTTGGGCTGCTAACCTCAAGGTCAGCACTTCGAAACTACCAGCAGTTCTGCAGGAGAAAGATGAGGCTTTCTGCTCCTGTAAAGATTTACAGCCTCAGACACCCTATGCAAGGTTGCTATGAATCAGAATTGACTCCACGGCACACCACCACCACCACCAAGTTTTGTAGACTGCAAAACATTTCATTGTTTGGCTCTAATTCTTTATTGATTGTCAGTTAGGATGGGTCCCACTTTGGTTTATTTCAGCTTTTGGTGTGTTGAACAAATTTGTGTCCTAAGTCTTTGTAGAGACATGAATATAGGAAGGAGCTTCAAAAAGTTCGTGAAGAAATGGAGTTGAAAGATAATGGAATTTTCCCATGAACTTTTTGAAGTCTGATTATATTTGTTGGAGAAAGTCCTGCTGAAAGAAGGTTCCTCTTCAGTGTTGATATTTAGAAGATAATCTGACAATTGGTTGAACCTATTTACATTCCCATGAAGAATGTATGAGAGTGCCCGGTTCCTCATCTTGTTCCAGAAGCGTCTTGTCATACGTCTTAATCGGAAAGGTAGAAAATAGTATCTCATTACAGTTTGCATTCCTTTTATTGGTGTGAAAGTGAGTCTTTTCATTTGATTAGAATTATTAGTGGGTTTTTTTTTTCCCTTCCTCTGATTTACGTTGTTTTTTTTTTTTTATTTGCCACTATTAGTCATTGGTAGTTTTATTGTACAAATATTTGAAACTTTTATAAAGCCAGGTTTGTGTTTTCCTTCATGACCTGTAGGTTTACAGTCTTGCCTAGAAAGGTGTTTCCTACAAGATTTAAGAAGAATTCCCCTGTCTTCTAGTGATACTTTTGCAGTCTTTTTAAAAAATGTTTAAACCCCTGAGCCATTTTGAATTGGTGCTTATTTTAATATTGGATGTATTTGCTTGACTGGTCAGATACTGAAATCTCAACTGCTGTGGTAGTTAGGTGCCATCGACTCCTAGTGACCTTATGTACAATAGAACGAAACACCTTTCGGGTCTGTGCCATCTGCAGAGTTGTTGTGTTTGAGTCCGCCTCTGTGAGGGTCTTCCTCATTTTTTGCTGACCCTCTGCTTTACCAAGCATGATGTCCTTCTTTTTGACAACATGTGTCCAAAGCACACGACACAAACTCTTGCCATTGTCACTTCCAATGAACTTTCCAGCCGTATTTCTTCCAAAACACAATTTAGTATTTCCATTTTGTCTTATATAATTCATGTTATATCTTCTGCCAATTTTTTATTTTTATTTTTAAGGAGTTTCTTTGAGATGTCAGTAGAGCTTTATTGAGAATTTACCACAAATTTGAAACACATCAATATATACACTTGACACTGTACTCATCCAAAGGTTCATATTTTGCCCTCTTGTCCTTGGCACTAGAATAAGCACTCAATCACAAGGTCAGTTGGAACCTCCAGGCCGATAATTCAAACTCACCAGCCACTCCTTGGAAACCCTATATAGGACTGGTATGTGTTGGAACTGACTCAATGGCACTTAACAACAACATTAACGCAAAGGAAGCATGTAAGCTCAGTGTTTCTTAATTACAATTGCTGCTTCCAAGTTTCCAGGATGATATACTTGGTGACTGAAAATTGATGGTCCCAATGTGACTCAGGAAGACATTCTGGAATGCTAAGAGAATCCTTTTATATTTTTTAATCCGAAGTCAGTAGTATTGCTCTGCTACACTGCCTTGGGAGATGTTTTCATTTTTCATGTTACTGTCTGGTACAGGGGGAGAGTGTTGACCTCATAAGATAAACACTAGACTGCAAACACAGGTTCAGCGGGTCGAGCTTACCAGTCACTCTGCTGGAGAAAGATGAGGCTCTCTGCTCTTGCAGACGAAACCCTACACAGGGTCGCTAAGAGTCAGAACCAACTCAATGGGAATTAACAACAACAATCGGTTATAGGGACTCTTTTTAACCTGGATGCACTTCCTTCTGAACTAGCTAGTTTCCTTTCTTTCTTTCTTTTTTTTTTTGATTGTTGCTTTTTAAATAAAAATTACCAGTGAGAATTGTAGATTCAAGGTTTTCCCTTCGAGAAAATTATTGATGCTATTATTTGAGCTTACCAATTTCTCAGAAACTTTTTGGGCTTAAATGTAACATCTTCTAATCTGTTTTCAAACGAAAATTATCCATAAATCTGAAGTCTCTCTCTCATTCATGACTTGCAACTAACTATTAGAACTAGGAAAAATGGGCAAGGTTACTTAGAATCCTCGGTGTTTTAACTTTAATATATAAAAGGCAATAAAAGAGTAAAAACCAGATAAAACCCGAGGAGTTGAAGTGATTTATTTTTACTCCCATTTTTAAATGTCTGGATCCGATGTGTCCATTCAGAAGTGGTCATTGGCTTTCTCTACTTGTTCTCTTCATGTGCAAAGTTGTCTACTTCAATATTTTCTTTATTTTGATTTTAAACACACACACACACAGGATTTAGTTTAGATGAACTTGCACAGCTTGCTTCAAGAAACCTAATATATAAAACTTTAGATTTAGTCGTAACTTATTTTTCTAAAGGATCTTTTTTTTTTTTTTAATGATTACTCATCAGTGTAATTGTTAAAAATAGATTGTGCTGGCAAAAGTGTTAGAGATGATTTGGCATTATATATAAGGAAACGGCAATCCAAAAAGGTAAAGTAACCTGTCTAAGACTTATAAAGATAATAGGTTTTAAACTCTGGCCTTTGGACCCCCTAGTCTGGTATATTTATAGTTGTTATATAGGAAACTTGTATATTGTTTCCAAGGAGTGACTGGTGGGTTTGAACCATGAACCTTGAGGCTAATAGTCCAGTGCTTGTCCTACAGCCCACACCAGGACTCCGGTATACTTATTAGAATAACAAAATATGATTTTTAAAGCAATTTTCTTTAGAGTTCAAGATTATAGAAAATATTTAGATAGTTACCTAATTAATGGTTGCCATTTTTAGAGCAAATCTGATGCATAAAATGAATTTCAGGAATGTTAATATGAAAGAAAGGGCATTTTGGAAAGCCATCTCTCCTTCCCCATGGTACACCCTGTTACACAAAACTCCAGCAAGAACTCTGAGCACTGACGTAATTCAAAATTGAAGGCATCACGGAACCATATTGCCTTGTTGACTGGAATTACCATTTACATTTTGGTCACTGTGTGGAAGAGAGTGTTTATCTAGTGTATTTCTCAATGGAATAAGTTGTGTCATGGGTCTATGCCGTATTGGTAAGTTCTTTGCGATGGTACTGTCAAGGTCTTATGCTTGAAGGGTCAGTGAAGTTGAAAGTTCAGAGTGGGAAAAGGATCTGGAAGAATGGTTCAGATGATAATTATCAGGATATTGTTGATTAGAGTCTGTAAAAGTCACCACTGACTCAGAGGGTTAACTGAATTCATCCATCACTGGACCTTAACAAAATATCCACAGAACCCAGCTTGAAGGGGACCGAAGACAGAACCTACTGGATGATCTTGTAACTCGAGAGCGACTACTTCTGGCATCCTTTAAGAATGAGGGTTCAGAACCAGATCTAATCAGGTATGATGTTTTCACTTTCAGGGATTACTTGATGGGTGACCGTCTCATTGCAGAGACGACAGCTTCATTTCTGTAACTTGTAAAGTGGATTCTGTTCATTGATCGTCTTCGGCTGTCATTTTTATTCAGTTTTATTGTCATTAATTTTCAAGCTCTAGTAAATTTAAGTATTTTCAGCTGGATCCCATTTTGGATGGGTCACCATCAGGTAGACTACACGACAAAGTCAGGAAATTTCATTTGGTTCAGCTTTCTGCTCTGTTAGCTGAGTTTTAAAGTCTGGAAATCACTTAAACTGTGCAGAAAAACGAGTTGTTTTTTGTTTTGAGTTTTTAAAAATTTCTTTATTGGCACGTTGAAAAAATTGTCTGTCAAATAGAGTGTAGTCCAGGGTTCCTGGAGGTTGAGTTGTGTGGCAGTTGAGTTCTTGTCACCATTCTTTGCCAGGGAGGGATCCACGTTGCACAGTTGACAGCAGCTCTGAGCTCAGCTCAGTTGGAAGACCCAGAGAAGTGGCCCAGCTTTCCAAGGCTGAGGTTAATGAACCATACATTGTTATATCTTTAGAATTGGCCTCTCCCCGCTTTCCAGAAACTCCCTTAACTTCATTAGGGGAGCCATAACAGAAGGAAATGAGCTTCAGATAGAAACTGGCTTCTCGCCCTCTTCCCCTCCAGGGATGGCTTTCATTTGTGGAGCAACAGCTTGTTTTTGTCTCATTCCTAGTTAAGAATAATGTGACTTCCCAAGGGGGAATCGTCTTTTCACCTTGCCCACACATTACTGGATTCCAACACAAACCAATTAGGTCTGTGTAAAGCGGGGGACCCCAAATGAGTCTAATAGGCAACCAGGATTGTGAACCACTCCCCTAGGGCAAGCTAAAGAGGATGAAACTTGGTTTTCTTTTTGGTTCCAGCCTTGTCAGGAGTGGGTAATCCAATAATCCGGGAAGCTCAATGAAATTTTAAGTCGTTTTTGTGGGAGTCAGTGAGAGAGGATTAGCTTACTGTTACTGTTTTGCTTTCTGTGCCAGACACTGTGCTTCGCTCTCGATGTGCATTTGTTTGGGAAATCTTTTACAGTAGCCTTTTCAGGTAGGTGCTACTTGTTTGTTGCTGCTTAGTGCCATCGAGTTGGTTCCGACCTATAGCAACCCTGTATAGGGTGTCCGAGGAGCAGCTGGTGAGCTTGAACTGCCAACCTTTTAGTTCACACAGCTTTGCAGTCTGGCTCATTAACCCACAGCGCCACACCAGGAGTCCAGATGCTACTAACAGCCCTGTTTTATAGAGGAGAATCTGACGTCCAGAGAGACCAAACAACTTGCAGAAGATGGCCAAACTACTAAGTTTGACCTTGAGTTCATGTAGATCTCTGAGCCTCCGGATCTGAACTCTTCACCACTGTACTGTAAAAAGAGCTGGACTAGGGGTTACTATCAAGGAGCTCTGGTAGCGTAGTGGTTACGAATCGGGCTGTGATCCTTAAGGTCAGCGGTTCGAAACTACCAGCTGCTCCGCGGGAGAAAGATCAGACTTTCTACTCCCGTAAAGATTTACACCCTCGGAAATCCTGTACAGGGTCGCTATGGGTCGGAACCGACTTGACGGCACTTAACAACAACAACAACAGGGGTTACTATCATTTCATCTTCTGGACTTCAATGTCATGGGCCTTAAAATGGGAACACATACCTATTTTTCATTGCTGTTAACAGTAAATCAGCTGGTAGGTAGGTGAAGGGCTTTGTAAAGGCTACATCTTTTATAAATATGAATGCATTTGTTGCTGGGTCATTTCTGACACACGGTACCCTGTGCATGTCGGAATAAGACTGTGCTCCATGCAGTTTCAAGGGCTCATTTTTTTTCTTTTTAATTTAATTAATTTATTTTTTTTGTTGTGAATTATATGATAGTTTACATGGGAGAACTTTAGTTTTACATTCATTCCATTGTTTGTCATCTCACTGCCATGGTTCCAATCCCCTCCATGCATCATCAACCACCCAAAGGGTATATCCCAGAAACCCGCCCCCTATACTTCCCCCTCATACCCCCAGTTTTCGGCCCACAGTCCCTTTCCCTCTCTGGGTCCAAAGTCCCCAGTCGCTTCATCACTCCATGTCATCATCTCTGTCTCTATCTCAGGCATCTCTGTTTCTCTGGGTAGGGTCCCACTCTCGGCTCTTCGTTGATGGTCCCAGAGGCCTCTGCTCCTATCCTGGAGAATTAATCACTCCCTTCTCAAAGGCTCATTTTTAAAAAGAAGTTTTTATTGTGGATTGAGTGGTAGTTTACATGGGAGAACATCGATTTTACACTCATCCTATCTTATTTCATTTCATTGCAGTGGTTTACAATCCCCTCCATGCATCATCATCGAACGGTATTTCCCTCTGGTGTTTTTGTTTTTTTTTTAAATGCACACAGAAACACTCAGGAATATAATCATTTAAACAACCAAAGGGCACATTCTGCAAGCCTGCCTCCTGGCCACCAGCTCTCAGCCTTTCTTTTTTCATGAGTCTAGAGCCCTCAGCTGAACTTTCTCTCCATGTCCTTATCTCTGGTGTCCCTGCTTCTCTGGATAGGGTCCCATATTCCACTCATGCTCTTCTCCCTTGATGGTCCTAGGGTTCTCTGTTCCTGAACTGTAAGCTTAACTACTCCCTTCTGTTATAAAGCTTCTACCTTTATAGTTGTGACAGTCAAATTAGTCATGATAACAATTGGTAGTGGTGGTGGTTATGTGCTGTGGAGTTGGACTCATAGTGACCCTATACAGGGTTTCTGAGGCTGTAAATCTGTATGGGAGCAGAAAGCCTCATCTTTCTCCCACGGGACAGCTGGTACCTTTGAACTGCTGACCTTGCGGTTCTCAGCCTGATTTGTAACCAGTACGCTACCAGAGCTCCTACTCACTGTTAACTCATAAGAATCTTATCCCCATCCCCTTTCACAGACCCATCTAGACAAGATGAAAACTATTCATTGAGGGTTTTACCTTCCCCTGCACACTTTATTATTATTATTACTATTTATTGTGAATTATGTGATAGTTTACATGGGAAAACATTAGCTTTACATTCATCCTATCGTATATCGTTTCATTGCCATGGTTACAATCCCCTCCATGTATCATCAACCAACCAAAGGGTATACCCTGCAAACCTGTCCCCTGGTCATCAGCACACAGCCCCTCTCCCTCTCTGGGTCTAGAGTCCCCAGCTGTTGCATCTCTCCACATCATCATCTCTGCCTCCATCTTTGGTGTCACTGCTTCTCTGAGTAGGATCTCACACTCCGCTCTTCTCCCTTGATGGTTCCAGGGACCTCGGTTCCTGGACTGCATAGTCAATCACTCCCCTTCTTTTGCTACAAAACATCTACCTTTACATTTCCAACCCTCACAGTCAGTCCTTATAACAATTATTCACCATTGTACCACAAGGGACCTATCCCCATCTCCTTTCATTAGCCCCACCCAGACAGATTGGATACTACTCAGTGGAGATTCTACCTTCCTCCACGCCCTCTGGATCTAGGCTCCCTCTTGAAAGCTTATAAGCCAGTCACTTCTTGCCTTTGTAACCACCTCCTTTTTGGGTAGCCAATGTCCAAGTTGCCTATCCCTGTCTACGCTGTGTATGGAGGGGGTGGGAATGATCCCCGCTGTAAAGATTTGTTCCCTCTTTTGGGCTACTGTATCCATAGGTGTAGGTCAATATCAATCAATTTGATACATCAAATTATATCAGATTACTCCTTTTTCCCCCTCTTCTTTCTTCTAGTTGAGCTCTGATCATCCAGTCATTGAAGCCAGGTTGAGTGGATATTATCTGCAAGTGTGGATGTTCTTATGCATATGCCCTCTCTTCTTATCAACTGGACACTTCACTCTCCACTCTAGTCCTCTGTGGCTATGTCACTGACACTAGGCCCAAGAGTCCCCAGGTCTTGCCACACTGATGGCCAACCAGGTCTCCACCTGGGTTCACAGGAGTTTATTGAACGTTGTAGGGCTTAGCTCACCACTTCATTGCTGTTTTTCCCTCACTTCCCCTTATCCGTGATAAACATGGTCACCAATCCGAGTGCATGTCTGCTTGTTTATTCCCATTGAGTCTTAGTCTTGGAATGGGGTTTGCCCTGAAGGGGACCCGACCACTTGCCTTGATGTCTCCTGGGCAA